TTGAAAATTTAATACAAGGTTCCTTATGAGTTGTTCTTATTGTAGCTAAAAAAAATTAAAATTTGTTGTTCACAATTTTTTTTTATAAGCGTTTATAGTTATAGTTGCAAGTAATTTTAAAGTTGAAAAATTATAAAATTTTTTGTGTTTATAACTAAGGATTAAAAATACAACACTAAGTTTTCCATAAATATTCCTTCAAGTAGCTATAGAGAAAACTCGAAGCATCATCATACGAAAAATTTTAAGTGCGTTTGAATTTTAAATTTTTCCGAAAAAGCGTAACGATAACGATTTATCCTCAAACGATTTTAAACATTTGTTAATATTAAAAAAGTGTAAGTCGTATATACTTGAAAATTTTACCAGCTATTTAGATTGGCATTTTAGATGCCCATATTATATTGCCAATGACATTTTCGAATCAATAATAATAATAATTTAATAATATAAGTAAATRTAAAATGAATAATATTAGATATTCCTTGATAGATGGCGCCACTGTTGTATACTTACAACCACTTAATKTTATCTGTAGGGGTTGAATTTCCGAAAATCCTTTCTTAAAGCACAGTGAAATTATAATATTAATTCATCCTGAAAATTTAAAGYAGATCTGCCCTGTGATTTAGGCTTTATGGTGATCCCTCCAGAGGACAAATTCCTTTATATATATAATAATAATAATAAGATAATATATATTCATATAATATTATATAATATTTATCTTTAACATATGTATTATTCATTTGTACTTTTCAAGCCATTTAAATTATATTTTAGTATGCATTATTTACCTATATTTAGTTTATAAACTTCACATATTTGAATAATTCATGTCTTTTTCTTTCTTATTAATTCATTATCATGACTCCTGATTACTACATGTCTACATCTTCTAATATATTTTTAAAAAATACTGTTTATCTGACTTAAAGTTGTTATTATTTATTTTATTAATGGTTTACAGATTTTATTGATGATTTAATTGATTAAATTATCTAAAACACTATTATAGAACATTTGATTGGATGCTTTAAATTATAAATAATATATTTTATTGTGTGTATATAATTTTTAGAAACTTGGAAGATGGAATAAAAGATTTCAACTTAGTTCTAGCTAACGAACAGAAAAATAAACAAGAGTTTTTGAATAAAGTTATGTACAAAACTAAAGCTTCAGATGAATTTTTTGATCAGTTTAATAAAACCACTCGTTAATGTTTATGCTTATGTCAATTGGAACATTTTTCTTTAAGTAATTCACTGTATCTGTAAACATTTTTAAAGCTATGTTTACAATTATATTCATATTTTTCAAATAATATAATACATTATTAAACATAACTTTCAATTGTTTACAGATACATTGAGTCACTTACAGAATAATTGAAAAAAAGGTAAGTAATACCTACTCTTCTAAGAATGTTTGGTTTCATTGAAAAAATATGTAGTTAAAACCTAAAACGTGGTATTACCATTTTTTTTTTTTTAATTGAGTTAGGTATAAGCAATATTCATATATATATATGAAAAAAAAACCTGCTGGTGAGAACCAATAACACGTTTTGACACAATAGACTTTATTAAATTGCTCTTATTTTTAAACTAATAGAGCTAAACGTAGTCTAAAAATAGATTTACACACTTAAACWAATTTTGTATTAATTTAAAGAATAAAAAGAAATTTTTGTTTATTACCAAAGATATGTTTTTTTAGTAGACACTGGTGTTAAATGTATTCAGATCTTATACAACGTTGGAACTTGGAATTGTAGGTACCTATTGTATTTATTTTTAACACCCAAGTTATTATCATCCGCTAGAAATATTTAAATTACTAAATAACCAAAAATTGTGAAGTCAATGTTCACATTTATTTAAAACAATTTTTTTGTAAATATTAAATTATACAGGTTAATTAAATAAAATTAATGGTGTAGTATGATTAAGTTTTAACTATCTATATACAAAATACTAACAAGTTTAGATATTAATAATTTTTATATTGCAAACCTTCTACCTATATGAAATAAAACATGTCACAAATAATACTTTATAACTAATAGGATAGTGAAACAAAAAATTAAAAATTAAAACATTTTGCCTCCTTGACAAATTCCTATTAAATCTAACTATTGACACAAAATATGCACTATACAAAATATTTACATAACAGGCATACATAAATAAACATATGTTTAATCTATGACTTTAATTTACATATTATATATTTATCTTTATCAGAAACAACTTCTATATTAGTTATTCGGTGCATTTAKAACAACCAAATTGGATTATATAGTGTAATTTTCAACTATACTCTATTCATGATATGAATGTTCAAATTTGCATATGAATTATAAGTAAGGTTACTAAATTGAAAACAATATAATACAATAAGCTCTTTATAATTTGTAATTTTTATAGTACTGTGTTGCCAGATTTTCACTAATTATAATAATATGATAATGTAACCAACCAATGGAACCATTTAAATAAACAAAAAAAAAAGATTATATTTTTGTTAGTTGAAAAAAAATATGTGTGAGCTACCTTTTAGCTACGTCTAGTGGTTGAAAAATAAGGTATAAATACCATGAAAGTCGCAAGGAATCTGTTGATATAGCTTTCATTGAAAATGGTCCAATAGATTTTAAGTCTATTAGTTTTGAATAAATTAACATCCATTCTTAGCTCTTTTTGCTAGTGAAAAAATGAAATACATAAAACAGGTACATTTTGGTTTTAGTGTACCTCAGTTYACGGGTAAATTGACATTGCTATACCACACTTTCTGAACTAATTTAACTGAGATGGACAATTTTCTTTCTCTAAGTTCTCATGATATATTATAGAAAAATTAAAAATATTCACAATAACGGCTATAAAAATAAATCACTTTATTCAAAAATATAAAATGGACTAACCACGATGTTAGACTATGAGTATATAAGCTACTTATATAAATTCAACCTAATATTTTTTTAAAGACATAATTTGTTTACTCCAGGCCATAAATGCAAAGATTTTATATATGTTTTTACCTCATTTGCTCAAGTAAACAATGGCAACCAACCATCAACAAAAAAAATAAAGATTTCCATCAAACAACTCAGAATCCTTATGTGAGCACTTCTTAAAAATGTGAATTTCTCAAAATATTTTCTTAATGTACCCTTAAATGATGATAAGAAAGTATCATGGAAATTTCAAGTCTATAGTAATTATAGTTTAGGCTTTACGTTTTTCAGTTAGTACCTAACCAACCAATCTTAAATTTAAATATGTTTCATCACAGCGAGTGCTGAATAGTGTCATGCTTATATAACTGAGAATAATTTTTTTAATTAAATAAATATATGATCTATTTATAAATATAAGTATTGATTTTATAATATAAAAGATATAAGTACAATTCTCAAATCAATTTAGTCAATAATTCATACATTTTTTTTTTAAATTTATTCTTATGAAATTATAATAATATTTATTAGGTAAATTGAATAATTTTGTACACGATTATTTTACATATACAAACTATCATCAAAATCTGGTGGTCTCATATGATCTGGACGCGGTCCTCTAAAGCTGCCAGGCATCATTGGATCTGGATCGTTTGGATGAATTGGATCAAAACGTGCCATTGGAGGAACACTAAATATTTATTATTTAACAAAGAAATGAAATAACATTAAAAGCAAAATATTAGGTAACCATACCCTGGTCTATTATTTGGTCCTCTTCTCTGCATAAGTGGATCAAAGAGCATACCCCCGCCTCCTAAAGGATTCAAATCTGGCATGCCATATGATGGAAATGGATTTATTGGACGGTATGGTTCAGGTTGATAACCAGGTGGATGTCCAGGTAATTGTCCTCTTGACATTCTAAACAAATCAAATGTCAGCCCTTACTTTTATTGTAACATATAAGACTGAAAGTATGAAATAAAATAAATACATACATAAGAGGATCATCCTCTACTGATTTTTTGGTCTGAGTGCTGACGGTTTTCTTATCCGTATTTTCTTTTTGCATGGGATTAATTAGATCATTTTCCAACAAACAAATAGTTTCATAGAACTTATCTTTATTTTTTGCTGAGTCACTGATCCATTTCACTGCAGAATTAATATTTCCAATCGCAGCGCTTGCCACATGTTTCGTTATTACATTCTAAGTAGAATCATGATGGTCATAAATTATGTTTAAAATTTCTTGTTAATTAATAATTATTTATATTTAGATAAGGATATGCAATTTGTACGCACATAAAAATTGAAAATAAAACTATCACAAGCTTTGACGCCACTCAACAAATACAATTCATTGTCACGCTTATAATGCAGCTTGTACATCTCATTTTGAGACCAATTTGCAGGTAAAATATCAGTCGGTTGCTCTTCATTAACTTTATCCTGAAAATATATACACATTGGTACATAATATTAAAACTTAGCAGTAAAAAAACTATTTGTCAATTAATTTGCTTTTATAGTAAGTATAAAAATAATAATAACTATACGATTTGCAGACATTTCCCCTCAGCTATTTTCGGTGTAGTAGGACATACCCTACCCATAAATTTTTTGATGCAGACATTTCCCACAATTTTTTTTTAAGTCTACATTTTAATAATATTATATTATTAATCATCGAGTATGAAATTATTATTTTCCAACACATATTTTTTTAGCCTTTGTTCATATATTTATTTWTTTTTTTGTAAAAACTGAACCAGTTTAATAAAAATTTTTAATAAAAACATTATAAATRACATTTTAAACAAGTCAAGTAAAAATATATTATCTTACATTGTCATAATAATAAGTATTGGCTTTGAACAATCCATGATTCAAGCTATTGAATTAGGATTTGTCGACGTCAATGTTGTTATTATCATCTTTCTCAAGGTATTTAAGGTAAAGTTCGAAACACAGGGTTAATTACAAAATATAAGGAAATGGAAATGTTCATCAAATAGTTGGAATAATGAAAGATTTTGCTTTATTGCCTTTGAAATATGTTAAGAAAAGTATGAAATATTATATATTAATGATATTATTACCATAACTACTACTATAATTTATAATATACATTTTATTATATTTATTATTTAGTAGTGAGGGGCCAAACTGTTCAAATATTGAACCGACTTCTTCATCAGTTAAGTTCAAAATTTTAACTCGGTATGAAAAAAATTC